CTCTAATAGTCCAAGTTATTAATGCAGCAGCTCAGATCACAGGATCATCCCATGTTTGGACCAACAGAGTTCACGCCCCCTCACGTCTGTGCGAGCTTCTTATGCTCTTCTTCTCAGGATGTTCCCGCCGACCCGTCATCGTCTAAACTTGATTGATAGCTAACAGGCATGATCTCTCCTCAATGATGCTTTCATGATAATCATCATTTTCATCTCATCTTTAGAGTTTCAACTCCCACTCTCCATGTCAAGACTGAAGGCGAAGGAAGGGGGGTTAACAACAGTGAGGAGGAGGGAAATGGATTACAGACAGATGAGCTGTGGGGTTGGTGGGCAGAACATCAGCCTGCCACGCCGAACATCTCGAGACAACTTTTGTCAAGTTGTCGGAAGTTGGGAACACGACGCTTCAACTTGTCCTGATACCTTGCTCCCTGCATCCGAGACCATGAATTCTGCCTGCATGTGGATGCCCACGCCGAGTTGAAGGAAATGCCGAAAATATGGCGAGGGTCCGCTCATGAAGGAACGAAAGCCTAGATGGAGAAAATAGCCACAGCGAAGAGGCGGATCCTAGGAATACCTTTAATAGAAGAGGCTTTGCTTTTCCTTCTAGAGCTTCTTCTGGCCCGCTGCCTTTCCTTCTGCTTGATGCCAAGGCGCCCCGCGGTCCATCGAGAACCGCTTAATTTCTCATCTCCCTGATGGTGGAGAAAGGGAAAGGGCAGGGCGAAAGGGCGGGAAGGGTTTCTGGAGAGAGAGAGACACGTCTGATTACCGTTTCGTACCGATCCGTTTCCAGACTCGAGGGCACCCTGCTTGGGCCCTGCTTGGGTATTCTTTGCTCACTGTAATTGTGATGATTTCCGCCTCTACGCTTGCCCAGCGCGATTTCAATCTCCCTCGGCTGTGGGGGGTTAAGTGGCAGAAGCAGAACTGGTGTCTGCCTCGCCATTCTCCGCTCGTTCAGTCCTCACGCCGCCATTCGCCCTTCCCCTCTTCCGCGATGCGTCCTGCTGACTCCGTCTCAGTGCCTGCCGTCCCCACCTCTTCATCCGCGTAACATCATCGTCTATTACTCAGAATTCTCTTCAAAGGTGGGGATGGTAAAAGCCGTTCCCGGCGGACACGGCGTGCACGGCAGACGCGAGCCGGCGAGACGGGAGGCAAACATTGTTTCGCCTTTGAGGGTTAAACCTCCGATGCGGATGGGCTTCACTCAAGCCTCAAGCCTCAAGCCTCATCCTCTCAGGTACAACAGTGGGCATGGGTAGGGATTCGACCGTCCAAGAACATGGCGAGAAAACGCATTGCGGGATTAGGGGCACCCCATGCCTCTGGCAACTCGGTGCTTGTCCCGGCTCCCTGGCCGGTTGGCGGTTGGCCTGTCGTTAATTCCCGCAGCGACTCGCCGGATGTAGTATCCGTGGATTTGGGGGGTTTTGAGACCATGGAGGTTGGCACGTTGAAAAACGGGTTTGGCCACAGTGAGCTTTTGAGATGCAACCCCTCAAAGATCATTTCCATATCGGGACGCTAGCTGGAAAGGACGAAAGGCCTCGTCTCGCCGGGGAACGTCCGCATGGCCAAGTGGCACTGACTAGCCCTGCCGTTGTCTCGGTAGGGCGGTGATGCCCTGGACTTGTGTTTGGCCGATTTCAAACTCCTCACAAAAGTCGCCCTCCCTGCACGCTGCCCTTAGGAAGTCTACTTTGTAGGTATTGCAGAACGGGATAGACTCACGTGAATGACGTGCTGTGAACTATAGACTCAGTCAGATCCTTGGCCTAATCTGACAAGCGAGCGCTGAGATGCTTTTGCAAAGGCCCTCGTCTGGTCGGCCAATGTGTGCTGAGTTCTCCGTTGTAGATGAGACGAAACCTACGAAGCCTACGTAGTAGAAGAGAGGGAAACAAGGTGTTGCGCCTTGCAAATTGGATGCGACCATCTTGCCGTCCAGCCCGCATCTGCTAGGAACACTTGCATATCCTCTCCTTGCTTGTGCATCCCCCACTTCACGACAGGATGAGGTTAATGTATCCGTACTCTGTACTCTGTATAGAGTACGTCTACTGTAGGCGAGCTCTGTCGAGTCTGGCCTGGACCTGTCTATGGACACTGGTCCAGTTCCCCTGGCACGCCTAGAAAGAGACGGTGGGAACAGGGAATTACCATGACGTGCGGGACAATCTCCTTTTCCGAGGATCCGAGGCGTGGCAGGGTAGTATCCCTCGCTACCCTCATTTATCTTCGACGCAAGCCTTATAAGCATCGTCGAAGAGCATTTCGGACGGCGGCCTGATGCTTCCAGTGACTGTCCAGTCGTCTCGAAATGGAGCGGTAGGGATACTCGAGAGGTCATGGTCCCAAATCGGCCAGAGCTTTACGGGCCTTTCCCTAGCATCATTCTCGACTCAAGCAGAAAGAGATGAGACGAAATGCATGAGATAGGTTGGATGGGAGGCCAGGCGGATTGACTTTCTCCACCTAATAAACTTGTGACAAAAGCTAGCGAGCCCAATGCCGCAATCAGTCGAGCTTCACCTCCCTAACAACTATCATCGAAACTTCGATCCAATCAACAGAGTGACATAGAGCCGGCTGAGAGAATCCTTGTCCCCGTCCACGTTGGCGTTCTGGAGAACGGAAGGGGAGTCGGAAGGGGTGGCCTAGCGACGCTTTGCCCTCTAATCTCTCTGTGTTCCATGAACAGGTTAGCCGTTGTTCTCCTCAGGAGATGACGAAGAGGTAATTCTGGTACCTCAATGACCCAGCATTTCCCTTGAGCTAATGCCGACTCGGGAACAGGTGGCCAGAGCCCTTTGAGACATACGCAACTGGAGCTGATGTTCACACAGCAATGGCAGCTTGCCATAACTTTGCATGCAGTCGCCTGTCTCACGAACTCGAAAGAAGAAGACTACATTGTCTCAGAAATCACTGAATTGGCGTCACATGGCGTTGTAGGCTCGGGTCGACATCTGTCAACCACGCACGCTTCCCAACCAATCTGCTGATGCGCCCTGTAGCGGGCAAACGTGCTTGCTAAACCACGGTTTTAGCACGAAGATGTCACGGGCCAGACAGGCTAGTACCGCGCCGCTCGTAGCGGCAAAGCTGTCAGTTAGCTGACTGCATAATCCAGCCCAGTCTCTGTTTTTAAGGATCGACTTTGGTTCGAGGCTCGCGAGGGTCAGGGAGAGATCGGTGTCTTCGTCGGCCATAGACAGACTTCGAGTGAGAAAAAAGAGCAATAGTCCCGTGTGATAACCACGAACGTGTTTCCTTTGCTCGTGTCCAGACTGCGCAGAAAAAGCCGCGTTTCCGGAGTTTGAGCTTGGTTGAGCGTGCCTCTCCCCTTCGCTAATCACGTTGACCAAAGATCTTCATGCGGCCTCATCGCAGATCAGCTCGGTCAACAGATCTTTTTAGGCATGTAGGACAGTTGCGCAAGCTCCAATAAGCCGGAGGAGCGGGACTTTGGCGCGTAGCGATGCCACTCCTGTGTCGAGTCGAGACTCGAACGGTGTGGGTGTCAGTGTCGTAGTATTGCTCGTGGGGCTGGGTGAGGTTTGTTCACCGTCCCCGTCTCGTCCTCCCTAGCCCATCGATCGCGTTCCGCCGATAACCCGGCCCCTTCCCCTTCTCCTACGCAGATCTTTAGGGCAAGCTTCGTGGAGGATCAGCGTTGCAAAAGCACGAGCATGATGCGTCGCGGAACGCATGCAAAGCACATGCTTGCCACACTTGTCTGGTCCAAACTTTGACGATCGTGCCTTTTTTCTGCCAAGTGTGCCGAGCTAGCTTGGATATTAGCTGTGTTGAGCTGGCCGCCATTGGAGCTGATTCATCGTAGAAAAGGCCTATTCGGTAGTACCACACCGACTTCGAGGTACTGAAATCGCTAGAAAAGACGAAGCATACGCCAGGCCAGTCTTGATGGCGGGAGTCGTGCTGAATCGAACCCCTGCCTGGACCTGACCAGCTACGTTGGACCGTCTTCACAACTTTCTGGACAATACTTTCGGCTAGACGAAGCCAATCACATTGTTGGCTGCAGCTGAGGAATGCGCTACAGTTCGTGAGCGTCGACACAGAGTGCAGAGGATCTTTTCTGCGCTGCGAATCGTCACATGCCGACTTAAATGCTTGGCTTGACCAGCAGAACTTGCGCCTGCTGTAGCGGGTACACAATTTACTCCGCAGTTCTCTCCGGAAGTCCGCGAATCCAAGGTTATTGCAGTCAGTCTGTAACTGGGTTTCTGGGTGGTGATAACTGAGCTAGCCGCTTGGATAGCGCTGGTTAATGGATCCTTCGGTTCGGTTGAAGGAGGGGATCTAGAGCCTTTACGTGCCTACTCGAGAGCCTGTCATGTCAGGCTGTCGATGCACAGCATGGTAGATTTCGCTATGAGTCTTCCACAGCTGAGGAGAAGAGCCCCCCAGAGTGCCAACGCCCTCGCCGCCGGCATCTTAGATGGGTGAGGTGAAACCGCCACCAAATTGGACAGTGGAAGGCTGAGGATGTGTGGGTGTGTCCAGCGCTGGCTTGGCGGGGTCTGACGGGTCCCAAGGCTGACGGCATTAGGGGAGATTGTGATTTGGAGATTCTTGCAGCGAGCGGGTGAATTGAACGGTCAGGGACGTGGCGTTGTCCGGCCTTGGGGATGGGGGGCAACGGCCATGCCTCGGTGTTCCGTCGTAGAAGAAGCAGAAGTGCAGGACCACCGCCCAAATCCCGGATAAGGTTGACAGACCATCCTCCGAGAGCCACGATGCCTTTTTTGGCAGTATTGCGAATGCGCCATCGAAGACTGGGCTTTGTCGTGACCGGAATAGGCGAGAAGATGGATCTCCGAGTACTGGTGGCTAAGGTAGCGGCGGGCGTAGAGTGCACCTCAGTGCAAATATTGCGAAACTGGGCTGTCGATAGTTGGGGCCAAGCTGCTGGATCGAGCCACAAGCCCAAAGTTGAAGTCAAGTCCCCCAGAGCCGCATGATTAGTGTTGAGATGCGTGGCGTCGCCCGAAGCTTGTCATGCACGTCCTGAAGAGCTTCAGTCTGGCCTGGGTCTTTGACAATAGAAAGAAGAAGTATCCGTAGGCTGTTGGCCATGGCAAGGCGGCACTTGTCCGTCACGTCGTCCGAGGCCATTTACAGCAATGGACATGGTTTGTGGGCGTTGACGGTGTTCGTCCGAGCAGCATGGATCAAGAGATGCGTACGTCCGTAAAAGACAGTGGCCTTGGGAACAAAGATGGCGGTCTGGTTGGTAGTGGGCAGATGCTTTACAGGTTGGGCGCCTTGTGCCCATCAGCGGCAATTGATGACTGTTGTGACTGCTTCACGCGCAGAATCGAGCGTTATGTTTATTCTCATGTTATCTTCCGTTTTTCGCGCATCCTCCTTCCTTTTTTCGCTCCTACCTACATTGTTGTGGTGGTGGTGGTGGTGGTGGTGGTGGTGGTAACAGGTACTCCGTACATAGCAAGTGGTGGTAGGTGGTCACTGGTGACTGCAGCAGTGCAAGTGCGGGCAGTTGTGGTCAACGTAGATGAAAAGGAAGGCCCCTGTTTCCTCGTCACCGTGTTTCAGATTAACAGTCATGGCAGGGGTTTACCTGCCTTGTAGCTCCGCACCTTCTTAGCTACCCAATGTCTTTCCTTGGGAGCTCATTCCGACTGGGTGGGCGAGCAGGGGTGTAGCTTCCAGGAAACTTCGTGGTTGTGAAGAAGGAGCAGGCACGCGGGATATATCCACACCTGCCCCCCTGTTATCACACCCTCGAGAGGATACGTACTGCACAGTCATGCAGATTGGTCTCCATTGCTATCCGAAAGGAGACTAGAGCCAATCGAGAGACGGAACCGCTCCTGCCACAAACTTCTCAGAGGGGAAAGTGCCGTCCTTGTTGATTGGTCGACATCCGATGGAAGGCGATCTGGGATCGTCCGGGCGCCATCGCATTTACAAGTGCAAAAGAGATTTGCTGGGTCCAAAGTCGAGAATCTGGATTCCAGATTCCGGTCTAGCCCAGTCCCCTAGTCCAAATACACCAACACAGAAAGGATTAGCACCACCAGAATGAAATGGCAGCACAACCACCACCACTTAACGAACGACGACTCTACTTTTGTTCAAGAGAGTATCCGTAGTACACTCTTGATATGTTTCTTGTCTTCTTTCAGCCGCTGCACATCGCTACTCAAAAGTCAGTATCTGGTCATCAACTCGAGTCCAGCACAACGGCGTAACGCACATGGCGAGAACGCGGCCATTCATTCACAGTGCAACGTGAAATGCTATTTTTACGGCAATGGTAGCCAGCCACAGTCGAACGAGCTGTTCCGCACAACTAAGCATCAGCCATGGCGTACAGAGTCACAGAGCACCGCGTGCTCCTAAACGTACGAATGCTCCGAAACTTGGCCGCCACCACCTTCCTCCATGTTGCGTAACGAGATACCCCAGAAGAGAGTTCACATCCTATTCTGGCAACTACGCCGCTGTTGGCTAGAAGAAGCATCCAATCACAAGACTGCAACTCTTTCGCCTCTGGAGTATAAACTCGATGTGTTGAGTTGAAGCAGCATGCCAAATTAGCCTGGAAATCCGGGATGGGCCTGTCGGCGTGACCTCTTGGGGGATCCTAGTCGACAAATCCACTTGCGACTGACAGGACGAGAAGCCTGACAGGTAGCAGTAACCTTCCAAGAGTTTCTCGATGGAAAGATTACATCGCTCAAGCCTAAGTGTCGTTTCCGGGGACGAGTGCTCGCGCGTTTGAGCGGCAGTGCCAGAAGTCAAATTCCTCCTCACCTAATACAGTTTCGAGGACGGGGAGAATCATGCTGTTGATCTTTCTCGGCCGTCAATGTAGCACTACCGCAGCACATATTTGATCAGGCGTGAGATATCATCTCGCTGCCTAGCCGGACTTCCCCCGATCACCAAACGTTGGCCGTTGCGCAATACAGGTTGATAACTTCGGCTTCATCTGCGCACAGTCGCCATTGTGGACCGCGCTCAGAACGCATGCAACCTCCTCTCGGTTCTCGATGCATTCGACCACCATTCCTTTTCCAGCCAGTCCCCTGTCGGAGCCGAACCAGCGTCAAAAACTAATTAGCAACGACTATCTGTACATATATGCGTCTTCTGCCTCCTTTGGCTGTAGACAATGTGATGGCGGACATGACCTGACCACCTGGTCCCGCCTCTCAGAGCCATGTAGCAAGATGCGCCTGACTGAATCGAGGCAATGCTGCGTAGAGATGGTGGAGGAGACGCTTCCTTGCCTGCCGTAGACTACCGAGGATGAGACGAGCGCCGGCGGGCGGCAGACGAGACAAGAACTTGCATCGAATAGCTGCGGCCACTTAGCCCAGACGCCGTTGGACCAGGCAGGCTTCCCGCCACCACCAAGCTATCCCATGGATGACGGAGAGAATCTTTCGGGGTTGGGATCTCTCCTTGACACCTTGTCCCGTAGAGTTAGAGCCTGGCTCTCTGAATCAACATCCATCGATAGGTTCTCAAGCAACACGCGACCCAGAGGCGCTACGGAAGCGCCCACTGAAAGACATGGTTTCTCGATTTCTACATCGGGTCTCGCCTATGTCTCGACTATATTCCCGTCCATCAGCCACACCGCTGGTATCTGGAGTGATTGCACTGCCAAATTGCCTAAGTGAGAGGACTCAACAACACCAGATGGCTTGCTCGCTGGACTCTATCTCTACACACAGCTTGAGTCCGAAGTTATGTGGCGGACTGCGCCTTCTCTGGTTACCATTGTCACACGGCTAACCGAACTAAATGATCTACCGTGCGCGGACATTGCCGTGCCTTCGAATGCCAACAAACATTGACATTGGATAATCTCCATGATGATCTCATAAGCTTACGGTACAGAGTGCCTGGTATTCTATTCAGCTGACAGGTTGTTGGATGTCAACGTCAGACTAACATCTCGCTCAATGCTGATTTCAAAAGCAATACTCATCACCTTCAAGACAATGGAGCTATGAGAAGTAGGCGTAGATAGCAGAGAACGTTTTCCATCTGAAGGCATCTTGAGATACACAACTCTTCTTGACTTGGGCACTACTCTACAATCCAAAATCTACAAGGCAGTTTTTCGCGGTTTCGTCCCAATGTACTTGCCTGCCAACATTCGCAGCAAGGTAAGGCAAAGGTAAAGAAGGTAAGCTAGGGGAGAGATGGCGCACAGGCGTAGGTACGTACCGACGTAACGTGTCCAGGTATCTCCCGAGCATCCAGAATCCTTCGGACGCACACGCCGCCCGCCCCTTGAGAGCTCGGTACGTCCTCGCCAATTACGTACCTCACTGAGGCGTCTACTGCAGTAAGGCACCTTGTCCCGTTTTCTTTCTGCCAACTACCTACGAACACCCACTCCCATCTTCTTTCGTTCCCATGGCCTCGCCCTCGGTGGCCTCCTCTCACACCAGCAACGACAGCCCGTTTTTTAATACCTCGTCAAACCAAAGAAATCCACACACACCCCTTATGGCACCTTCACACCCTCTTCTCCAGCTCTCCGCTGATTCTTGAACCATCAACTGTGGCTGGCCTCTTTTGAATCCCCCTTTGACTACGGACAGCCAACCCCACTCCAACCTGTTGCGCCGGTGCTGCTGCAGGGCTCGAGTCTGTTTACTGAAGGCTACAGTAACAAAACCTCACTGTTTCTCTTGGGCCAGAAACTTTGCTCCTACGGTCAAGGATGATGATGACATGAGGCAGACGCGGGAAGGCAAGTGTTGGAAGTAGGAGCTCCGCGCTGAACTCAAGACCTAAATCCTGGGCTCGGCATCCCATCCATCACTCAATTCACTTTCAGCAGTCAAGGTGCGTATATCCCTACCTTACGTATCACCTAGTCCCATAATCAGTAGATGAGGTCTGTGAGCTGCTGCTAAATGAAGACAAAAAGAAGCTTAGTCAATACTACACATCATCAGCGAAACCACGAAAAGCTTTATGATTCCTCGACGAGGGGGCTTTCATGTTCGAACACGCACCAGCAAACCCCCAGACGAGACAGGAGGGGGCTGGACAAAACATCAGCACGGCCAGGAGATGTATCCTTGTTCTTGTCTGCTTCAGCACGAGACCGCATCGCGTCCCATTCGCGTCTGCAGCGAAAGCGTCCAATCAGTATCTCTGGACTGAGAGCTTTGTGAGCGAACTCACTCGAACTCGCTTTCTCAGCTGACCTGCGGCCACAACCCGCTCCATCTCGTTAGTGTAAGTATCGAGCTTGAGAACACAAAAGTGAGAAACCAAGGTGCAGAGTCTAGCTGAAGCCTCGAGTAAGGTACGGCCCAGGCCAAAAACGGTTGATATCAAGCTTTGGGGAAGTGTAGGTATTGTCCCCGAGTTTCCTGATATCGACCTCGTTGTATCTCTCTGTCAACCTTCCCCGCGCTTTGGCAGCTTCTCCTCTTTCTTTCCTTCTGTCATATGGGTGATGGTGTCGTCAACTCATCATCAGGATCGACCCTGCGCCTCTGGTCGAACTCTGCTCACACACTTCTGCATCTGTCTGCTGCCTCCAAGATGCGTACCAGGTTATCCCTGTTGGCGACGGATGTTGAACTGCATTCAAACAGAACACGGCGGCACTCGCACGCGTACACGGTTTCCCGACGACGACACCCCTCAATCACCTACCCACTTTGGGAAGCTAGGCGAAGCTACAATGCTTACCCACCGACGGCAGCTCCTGGCGGAGTCTCTATACATAATCAGGTCACAAAGCTGCATGCCAAGCACGAGGGCGCGGAGAATTATCAGAGGACCAGGGGACAAAGATGACTGTGTGCGATGCAAGCCAGAAACACATTGCGCAGTCAGAAGAGGGAATTGCAGCAGCCTCATCGGCGGTGGCAGCGTCAACACTCAGCAAATGGACGACAATATCAAGGCCAAGGTCCGAAAATCTCATGTCCCGGCTTGTCCTGCCCTACGCTCACTCGAGCCGGCTTGCCAGCCCCCCCCCCCCCCCCCCCCCCCCCCCCCCCCCCCCCCCCCCCCCCCCCCCCCCCCCCCCTCCCCCCCCCCCCCCGCCCCCCCCGCGCCTCCCGCCGCTGCCCCGCCCTCCCCCCTCCGCCCCCCCCCTTCTGGCCCCCCCCCCCCCCCCCCCCCCCCCCCCCCTGGTGGCCATACGCAGCGCTGCTTATGCATTGTCTTGTGTGTCGTGCGCATCCTGTCAGTGAGGGTGGCTTGCGCCTTGCCACCGGATACTGGTCTCCTCTTGTTCTCGTCTCGCTTCGACGATACCGCAGTCCAACCCCCGCTCTTGCTCTTTAGCTCGTATTAGAGCCTAGTACGGATACTGTAGGTATGCGGTTACGGTTGATTTTTCTCCATCTATTTCTTTTGGATACACAAGCCGTGGGTGTTGGGTCACGGTACAGCCCCTAGAGCTGTGGTAATGATTGGGTTAAAACTTCTACTTGTAGCTGACAGTAACACGAAGCCGATACTGTCGCGGGAAGTACTGATACAAAACACCAGCTCAAGGTTGACTGGGAATAGGTGCTGGCCGATTGAAAGATGTCGGGATCCTCGACAATGGTGACTCCAAGCCAAACCACCATGCAGCCTTTTCTGGTTCTGGGAGAGGGATCGGTAGATTTTCTTACATCACTTCTCGCCCCCAACTTCCGATTTCCAACTGTCTTTGCTGCAGCATCCATCATCCGGCATCCTGGCCTTCTAGCATCTAGCATCCACAGACAGCACACCCACATCCACATCCCACATCCCTCGTTCCTCATTCCTCATTCCTCGTTCGCCTCTGCCGTCAGTTCATCTTGAAGTCTGATTCTACGCCAGTGTGGGATTTCCCCATCTTGGCCCAATGCTGACTAGCCGCCTTCGCCACAGTTCCTGGGTTTGCACCCCCCTCATATCCCCATCCCCCCCCCCCCCCCCCCCCCTTGGCCCTTGCCGGGATTCTGGGAGTGGGAGGAGTCCCTGTGGGCGTGGGCGTGCAAGCACCCCCTCGCGCCACTTGATCTGTGGGCTGGGACCGCGGACTGGACTGGGCTGGGCTTGGACACAAACAACGCGCACCCCCCTGTGCTCATCCCCCTCCATGTGTCATCTCTTCTGATACGCGCTGGTTGTAAATGAAATAAACCAGGCTCACTGTCATTCTCCACCACAGGCAACGCACCTTGACCACCATCCATTCCGCACCGAGCCTTATCCTGAACTATCCGTAAACGGCCGGGCCATCTCCTAGACTCGTATGCCTCTCTCTGTCCTTTGCTTTCCCCTACTATCCGCACTTATCACTTTGTGGGTGGTGCTTGCGATTCAAATTTGCCAGGAGAGTTGGAGACTTCCTGGGTGTCTCCTGAGTATCCGTAGGAACTCTACGGCCTTGGATGGACCTGGGCATCCATACTATGATTCCTGCACGCCTCGTCGAATCAGCTGGGCCTTGCTGGAGTGGTTCATCTCCTTTCCCGCGTCTCCATCCAGCATCTGCATCTGCATCAGTATCCGCACCTGCAACCCCCGGCCGGGGTTCCTTGGGAAAGGGAAATGGTGAAATAACGAAAGAGGGAGACAGACACGCGCACACACGCAGGACTACACTACTACTATGTAGTGTACTCTGTTGAGAGGAGGAACCTACACCACACACACACACACATTGCAGATTTCCATATCCAGGCACTTGCACATTGCACTTTTACAGGACACACCCCCGTCACTCTTCCCGCTCGTGGGCCCGCGGATTCCCAAAGAACAGAAGCCGTTCAATGCCTGCCTGCCTGCCCCCTCCATGACCATGACCATGATCCATCCTCATCCTCCCAGAAACCACATATTACAATACCCACAGTTACGCCCTGGCTCTCGTTACTACTCCAGCAATGCATCGGCACATCGTCAGCACCTGGCGCTTTGATTCATACCATATCCTTCCGTGGAGGTTTCGAGGCTCCGGAGATCTACAGTACAGGTCAACAGGAAGGGACGTTGGGGGTCAGTGTCACTTTCAAGTTCTGGCTTAGTCTAGACTGTGATCCCGCCTCGAGTACGTACGGATACTCCGTATCTGTATCCGTACTTCGATCCCACGATGCGAGTTGTCCGTCCATCAGCCTTGCTTGCTGTGCCAACCCAGAACAGCACTCTCAGCCCTTCCCAATCTTGCCTTACGTGGTCGGCACTAAATACGTCTTCGTGTCTAAATGAGGCTGGGCCCGTTCGTGGAGCTGGGTCCATCACCGTACGCCCCGCCCTTGGTCTGTACTACGAATCCCGATATGGATGGAGACAGTACAGGATTGCGAGGTAAGGTATCTGAGACTGGGAGAGACGAGGGCGAGGACGATGGATGATGAGCCCTCGCGTGCCATGGTATGTAATACCTCTGCTTTCCTTGACCTGGGCTCGCTTTTCCCTCGCTATCCACTAAGTATTCGTACACACCTATCCGTACAACGGCATCGTTGCTAGCTGGTCTGTTCCTTGCAAGCTGCCGTCCCTTACTAGTCCCAGCTGGGCACGGAGTTGCCTCTCATTCTCTCTCTCAAGGCCCTGGGGCTCGGGTCCAGGTCTGGGTCTAGGTCTCTGGACCTCTGGGTCTCCGGGTCCCTCTCGTCCTTTGGGAAAGGAAAGTGAAGTACTCCGTACCTCAGACTACTACCTATGTGCCTACCTTGCGGGTAGAAGCTGCTGGTGTTGCCGCTTGTGCTGGTGCTGGTGCTGGTGCTGGTGCTGGTGGGTGGGAGTCTGAGAAAAAATACGTACCCCCCTCTCGGGCGTGAAATGGAAAGAGAGGTGTCCAGGGCAGATGAAGGTAGGTGTGTATGTACATAGTACTCCTCGGTACGGAGTACGGCGTGTGGTGTCTGTGAGGTGGTGTCTGTCCCTTTCCCTTCCCAGTCCAACCCAAGTCTCTTTCCCAACTTGGAGCTGGCCGCCCTTCCAGCTTCGCGCCTGTAAAAAAGGTTATTTCCACCACCTGCACCCCCCATACCTTCATTTGTTCTTTCCTACCTTTTACCTCACCTCTCGCCTCGGGTTTTTTCTTCAACCTTTCTTCACCTGTCTTCCTTCCACCCATCTTCATCTTGACTGGCCAGCCAGCAGCTTTTTTCCTCACTTTTCCACTTCTTGACCTTCCTTCAAACTCCCCTTTGTCTCAATTTCTTCTCCGACTGCTCGCTGCCTTCTTCTTCTTCACCAGCAGCTTGAGCTTCAACTTCACTTTCTTGACTCGACACGATTCCATACACAACAACCCGAGGAAACAAAACAAAAAAACACACATCAACCCCAGAAACAAAATCAGCCACCCATGTTGTCTGATTTCAACTTCAACAACTTTTGAAAACACCTGGAGCACATGAGTATACATGACCATGCTCACAGTTAAGCAGCCAACACACTACGGCTACAAGTCCGTCCATGACCTACCTACTCCGCCCTCGACATCCCGACCCTCGCCTCCCTTGGCTTACCAAGACCACCCTTCGCACAAGTTGCTGCCGTCCATTCCCCGTAGTCACAGTCCAGCTGGCCAGCCTATGTCGGCACATCATCGTGGCCTGCCTCCCCCGGCGGCCATGACTTTGCCGCCCCAGCCGCCTCACGCAAGCTCGGCTCCTCCTCCGCCACCTCCGGCGCCCCAATCCATCGGCCAAGCTCAATCTAGCCATGGCCACCTGATGGGTCAGCTGCCCGGACCGCCGCCGCAGTGGCAAGGCGCCGAGGATTCCATGAGGAGCTGGCTGGCAGCAAAGACAGAAGAGGAGCGCAGGAGACAGGAGGAAGAGAAGACGAGGCAAGAGACTCTGCGCCTAGAGCAACGGCGCATCGAGGCCGACATGCTACGAACCTCGTTGAGCGGCGGAATCCCCCCGCCCATCGTTCCTCTCGTCTTTGCCGGAATGGGAGGCGGTGTTCCTCCTGCGGCTCTGGAATGGGCACAGCAATTTCTCGCTCAGCAGGGACAGCCTCAGCACCCCCAGCTGCTGCCGTCCCAAGGTCCTCTTTCTCCTGAGCATCGCCGCGATTCTCAGTCCCAGCCCTACGGTCAATATGCGGGCGTCCCTTCGACGCCGAGCTCCGCCCCCGGACCTCACGGATTCCCCGCCTACCCGGGCTCTCCCCAGCGGGGAAGGGCAACGACTTTGTCCTCGACTGGCTCGGTGTCCCGGCCACTGGGATCTAGTAACCTTCCGAGCCTCAACACGAACGTCCCTCATTCTGGCCCACCAGGCCCGTCGGCACTGCAGAGCCACCAGCACGCAGCAGCGCAGTCTGCGCAGTCTCAACAAGAGGCCCAGCCGAGCCCGTCCATCTACTTTCATCACTGGCACCCGCCGACATCCCAAGCCGGAGGTGGCTCTACTCAGCCTGCGACACCCTCCGGTGCGTCCAGCAAGACCAAACGAAAGAGAGAGTCGCTTTAGGCTAACCTTGGCTGGTGTGGCCGTTAGGGGAGTCTCCTAGGAACAAGCGCAAGGCCACAGGCCCGCAGCCAGCCCCTCCACCGCCAAGTCAACATCAACGCTTGCGGTCGCCTCCTTTCCACGGTGGATCAGCGCTTGAGAACCCCCCGCCGGGGCGAAGACGCGGGCATACACGACAGCGTAGCGATCTTTCGTCGTACCGGCCGACGGGTCGTGGCCGAGGTGAGAGTTTCGGGACGCCTCGAGGCATGTCTCCTCAAGTCGCAAGCTTCAGCACGGCCCCGGAATACGGTAGCGCCAGTTCGGTTTCTGCTCAGCAACAGCAACAGCAGCAAGCACCAAGGAGTGTCGGTGGACATTCGGTATCATCCTTGTTGTCCGAAGAGCCATCGCACGCAGCTCAGTACGGGCCGACGCCAACGGAAGCTTATCAAGGGCAGGGCGAGGAGCGACGACGATCGCCGTTGTGAGGGGTGAACGGACGAGACGGACGCGTGGGGTCGCAGGATCAGCAGCCATGCGACAGGCAGCACTGATTGAAATTTGGCTCGGGCCAATTTTACGACTTGTTTCAGCCATACCATCACGGCGAAATTTCGCGAAACGAGATGCATGAGTACGACATTTTCTTCCGAATTTTTCGCTTCTATTGGATTCATTCCGCCACGTTATTTTTCGGCCTTTCCAACCCTCATGGCTGGAAACAGCGCGGGGGGCGTGAAAAGCCGACACAGCATTCGACGGCGACTTCAGATTGCCGTCGATGACTTCGATTTCACAGAGAGAGAGAGGCATGGATTTCTCCTCCCAGCTTGACGCCTTTCCAGAAGATCTGGAACCGGAGGCGCGCATTCTTCACTTCTTCAAAAGGCATGCACGGGTCACGGCACTTCTTCATTTCTTTCTATTCTTTCTTCTTCTTTTAGGCGGGCGGGTACATCCATAGCCGACAAGCCTCGGGTTTTACATGGATTCAATTTTTCTGCTTCTCTTTCTTCCCACACCTGGTGTTTTGATGTGTATGGTACTGTCAACACTGCATTTTTTTGTTTGGGTGTACCTATAGCTGTCGGGTGTGGTGAAATCATCAACGGCCGGCCAAAATCCACCTGCGAGGTGAGACTCATCAAGGGGGTTTGGTGAGAGCATTAAGACTCAGGTTGGAGTTATTTCATTTTTCGACTTCTCGATTTGGACAAGTTTTTCTCGAAATGGAAGGGTGGACTTTGGCAATATCTTCACTCTTGTTGGCTTCTTGAAATCTAGGGCTGGCTTCTTTTGGGCAATCTTACATGTATCATGATACCCTGCAGAAAAGACAAAAAACAAGACAAGACGCATTTTTGCAGAGACGGACAGACGTGTTTCAACCCCTTGGAGATTGATACCTTATCTCGCTTGTTTGATTATTGCGCGTTGGGGGTGTGGGAAGCCCGGAGGGGTGATTTGGGTAGGGGGCCGGGAACCAGGGTAATTAGATGACGCCCTGCACCGAGTTATCCTAGGTATTACCCCTCTTCTCTTCTCTCACTCTCTCGCCATTTCGTGGCTTGACCCCCCTTGCCGGCCGGAAATGGCCAAAGGCCAGGACAATGATGAAGGAAGATTGAGAAAGTGTGATGAAAAGTCACTCACCAGCTTCGGACGTTGCATTACCTACCTAAGCACCTGGGCCACTAGGCACTGGGTCGACATGGCGCGCGACCAAACTTCATCACTTGAGTGGGAGTGTGCTGCACTAACGCTGAGAAGGGATGACGATGGTATAGCAAAGCTGGATTAAGCTCGGGGCGGGAGATTAGCATCCCCTCCGCGATGGAGATGAGGAGTGGAGAATCTTGGCTTCTTTTCGTTTTTTTTTTTTCGTTTTTTTTTTCCTTAGGTGCCCGGGCGTCTGTCTTCTTTTTTTTTCCCTCAGTGGTAATGGGTAATCATGGCCCGCGCTCTTTTTGCATCTCGGTGGGGCCTAGCTGCCGGGCGAGCCCCGTCCGCCGCCGCCCTTCCGCCCGTCGCCCGCCGCCGTGGGTGGCCATGGGCCATTGCCCGTGCCGGGTGCCCGGACCTCGAGGTTGCGTCGACGTCGGTAATGAGAGTTTCGCTCCCTTTTTTTTTTTTTTTTTTT